TATATATATATATATATATAATTTTTTTTTTCATTTGTTTAAGAGGTGTTATTTTTATGTCATTAGAACCATGATTTGAGATCAAACCAAACCACAAAACTAATTTAGTTCGAAATTTTCTAAAATCATTTTAAATGATTTTGATTTGAAAAAATTTCAAAAATCGACAAAATCAAGCTGTGTTCATCCATACTTTAGTCTCTTGCAATCTATAATAATAGTCGCACGTTGAATTGAATAAAATTAAAGAAATGCTACAAAAAAGGAAAAAGAAAAAAGTAACTTAACCACCCACCAAACCTCTAGTTTGGGGCCTTCATCTCGGAGTTTCCTTTACTCTACCAAAAAAAAAATGGCAAAATACAAATGGACCATGAATGATTATAAAAGAAACATGATGCCATGCTTAATATTATTATAGAAGTGATATTTACTTGGACCACTTTGTTGGTTAAGATTTCATTATAATCAAATGAAATTTATTGCATTTAATTCCAACAGCAACTAACTTGTATTTGCTTTAAGATTTTTATTTAGTACTTAACAGTTACTCATCTTTGTCATAATGCCGGTTGTTCCACCTCAACAAATACAATTATTGACAAACACCTCCCAACGACTTGTACAAAATGCCCCAGTTTGGCCCTATTCACTAAAATTTATTTTCGATCATACATTTCATTAGACTCATAACTTTATCAACTTTTTAACGGTACATTTTATTAACTTTTTGTTAAAGTTTATTAAAATTTTGATTTTTAGCTAAACCGAGCAGGAACATTATAACGTTCAATTGCTATCAACTTTGTAACAAGTTTCTTGAATTGTTTTCCCTCCTTTTTTTGATGTGTCCCTTTTAGCCTAATGAAACTCGATGTCGGTCGTTGTTTTTGTTGAATGAGGACAAAGAATATTGCGCTAGAATGGATTTCGATTTCTATTACTCTACATAACCCCATTTGGTATAAATTAATTTAAGTCAAAATCAACAATTACTTTTAACTACGCATTTTATGGAATTCATAACTATTCAACCACACATTTCATCTACTTTTATCAAAATATACTAAAAATCTGATTTTAATCCCTACCAAACAGTGGCTAGTGTTTAACCCACAATGTCACGTGTAATTCAAATTTATTTTTTTTTATCAAAAATTTGATACGTACACAATTTCACAAGTAAACAACGATATTTTAATTTTAAAATTTTTTATATGATCTAACGGGAAGAAAATTGTATTTTTATGTTTCATGTATTTGAATAGAAACATGGCAGAGAGGAGGAGGATCTTGCTTTCAAAAATCAAAACCATTGCTAAAGTGATGACACTTGTATTTGGATGGACGTATATACAAAGTTCTTAGACAAATGTAAGAGTATATTCCAAAGAGACTAACAAGAAACCTTTATTGGGCATCCCATGGCAGCTTCCCAATGCAGTTTCAAATATTCGGGCCAAGCTTAAAAGATTTATTTCTAATTAATTTTAAATAAGTTACTTATTATAATTGTGAGGAAATAAAAATATATTGGAAGTAATTTAAACTTAGCCAAACGAACAATTACTCCGAACTTCTCAAATCGTGTACAAATATTTACATGATACTCGTAACCTTTTGTCTCGAAGTAGTTAAGGTTGTGACGCTTATAGCATAATTTGTAGTTTGTGTAATTTTAGTAAATTGACAACTTAAAAAAAAAAAAAAAAAATTGAATATTGTTGAAAGCTTTTTGAAACAATTAAATTAAATAGAAGAGAAGTTCAACTTTTCATGGAAGAATTGGAAACTCAATTATTTTTTAAGATTTTTGTTTCCTCTTCCGTTGACTTTTATCCTATGCAATGACAGCAAGCAATAGATTGTTTATCCATCTGAGAAAACAAAAGTATTCTTTATTTTTGAATGTTTGATTCATGATTTTTATTTCACAATTGTTTTTAATTTATTAGTCCATCATATAATTTCTTATAAACTTCTCGATTACATCTAATGTGTTCTATTTTTATGTCTCTCATAAGTTTGAAACATAATGTATTCACTTTAGGTAAACTTAACACATACCTAATTATGATTTATTTTCATCATAATTTTATCGACTATGTGTAACATGTACCGAATAAACTCATTTAATTAAAGTGTGTCTTCCAAACCCATCTATGCATGGCTAAAGCACAAGATAAGAAATTAGGAAAATATTGATTCAAAGTTAACAATTAATTTAATAACACATTTTATGGGACTCAAAATTTTTATCAATTACAATAAATTTTATCAACTTTATATAGAAATCCAAAATATAAAATAGTGCTACGACATTACTAATCCTTAAATGGTGCCATTTAAGCAATTTCTGCATTTTGACATACTAAAAAAGGCCGGCCCAGTCAGCTATATGGGCTTCTAATAATGAGCTTTGAATTAGCTCTATAATTCAATAAGAGAAAAATTCATAACCCAGAGTACAAGTATAGGTCATTTCAAATATAAGATGACAAGTTTGAAGCTATATATATATATATATATCAATTAGCTTCCTAAAAATTAGCTGTAATTTACCATCAATGGCTGGACTCTGTATCATAACAAATTAACCTCCCCAAAATACAATGCATCTCTCATACGAGGAAAAAAAGCCATAGATCTAAACTAGCTCCTACAATTCATCTCTCAGATGACGAATAGAAGCCACAAATCTGAACTAATTCGTCTACACTTGCCGAAAATCTCTGGGGTGAGTGGTGACATTACTTGCGCCATTCAGGTCACATCTCGGATATATTTTCATCGCAATAAGCCTTTACAATATATCCGATTGAGTGTACAATTCATGAAAAAACCACAATATAATTTTTGGCCTACCCTGGATCACATCACATTGTCATTGAAATCTGAGATTTGATATTTATCGGGTATGTAATCCTAATTCAACTTTGTAATCCATTTTAAAATAATTTTTGATCCTGGCAATGAGTG